ACCGAGTACCACACCGAGGGGTTACGCAAGAAGGAGCTGAGAATTCTGCATCGAGACACCGTTAGATATCTTATTGAAAAGTGCTGCTTAAACCTTAAAGGTCAAAACAGCTTATAAATTCTTTGATACATCAGACCTTGCATATGAAGATATTTAGTGAGTATCTCAAAAAATCGGAAATCGAAGAATTTCGACATTGGAAAGCTTAGAACTTTAATTCCCAAAACCGGCTTTCTATTAACCTCAGCATTGATGAATAACCGTACGGCCGATCTCTACGTGGACATTCAGTGGAGGAATCACAAGGAGTGGTGAGTGCGCGAGGAAGACATTTCATACCCAACACGATCGAAAGTTAGATATTATGGCTTTTCCATTGATGTTATGGAGGTGTTCGGTTGACTACGATACGGTTACCTTATCCTTCCTTGACTCTAAAAAAGCCAAAATCTGCCAAAACGTTAGCTGTTCTGAGCAAATAATATATAGTAACAATCTCGTGTATGCTAATCGAGAAAGTAGCGATACATAATAAAAGTAGAGTAATCACTCTTTCTTTGGTGCCTATTCTTTTTCCATAACAGAGCATAAAATGAAATAGAACTAAAGTGATGCCAAAATATTTGCAAAACTCCGGACCTCATTTAACTGTGGCGGGGATCGGACTTCGTAATCATTTTTTCCAGGGGCAACGTATTCACCACCACACCGTGCTTGCTTGCCCTTCATTTCGTCTTCATCTCAGCCGCCTTTTATAGGCGCTATCGGCAAGGGGCATGTGTGGCGCAGTGGTCGGAGGCTCCCTGCAACGCACACGTGGAATCTTCGTGCCCATGGCCCACCAAGCCTTCCATCCATCCGGGTTCGGCAGATTGTTACCAGACTTGTCTGGGAGGATAGCAGCACTGGCTCGATACATCGGCAGGCCACCGCGAGTTATTGTAAAGGCCAGATGTGTATTCAATCACCTCCAAACGATGCTTGATGAAGTCGAATGCATGGCGCATTCATCAGGGATTGATCAACACTGAAAGCTTTATCTTTTTATCAGTAATTACCCGTCAATGGGATCGGTCTGGTTAGTGAACACGTTAGCTCGCGGAAAGGCTAATTATGAGGTTCGATCCCCGCCGCAAACACCGGAGGCCCGCCGTTTTGCAAATGTATCAGTATCATTGCAATAATAATAGCGGTAATGTAATATAAATATATAACAATACTATAACGATATAGTATGATAACAGTATTAAGACTTAAAACCAACATTAGTAATACAGTTGTAAAAATAATATCAGGTGGTTCAGAAATAAATGAACGTTTTAAAAAGTATTTATTGTTTTAATGTATTTTCTATCAACAAAATATTCTTTGTACCATGAAGTATTACTTATCATTAAAAAGCTGATTTTATGCTCCTTCCAACGTTTTTTACAAATTGTCGAAAAGCAATTCCTTTTACCAATTTTGAGCTTAGTAGTTTTAGATGTCAAAACCAATTTTCGTCAAATCTTCTTTTACTTCAAACTCGGCCGAGGTGCGCAGAGAGGGGCCGAAACATTAACGAAGTTTGGGATGAAAGTAGTGTTGGTGAATCAACAGTATGAACATAGCGACACAACTCGACAAGTGGGTGCCACGCGGATTAAACGATGATCAAAGAAATCGCCGTTCTGAAGTGTCGTCCGGTCTTATTCTGCGCAAAAGAGCAACCCTTTTCTTGATCGAACTGTGATTTGCGAGTGACGAGAACTGGATTCTATGCGACAATTGGCGACGTTCAGCTCAGTGGTTGGATTGCGATCAGGCTACACAGCACTTCCCAAAGCCGAAAATGCACCATTGAAAGGTTATGGTGACTGCTTGGTGGTCTGCAGCCGGGCTGATTCATCACAGCTTTTTGAATCCGTGCGAAACCATTACGGCAGAGAAGTACTGCCAACAGATCGAAAAAATGCACCGTAAAGTCCAAGACAAGGCCCGCCTTCACGTTGCGGAACCAACGCTCCAAAAATTGAACGAGTTGGGCTACGAAACGTTGCTCCATGCACCATATTCACCAGATCTCCCGCCTGCGGACTATGACTTCTTCAAACACCTTGATAACTTCTTGCGTGAGAAATGCTTCTCCAACTACGATGGCACAAAAAATGTCTTCAACGAATTCACCGCTTCCAGAACTCCAGAGTTTCATTAAATTGGCGAATGTATAGATTTCAATGGTTTTTATTTTGATTGATAAAGTTTTATTTAAAGCAAGTTATGACATTTTAAATAATGTAGTTAAAAAGCTCGTTTTTTCCGAGCGAGCTGTTGTCAGAATCTCAATAATATCAGGGCTAATGGTATGATATAATAATACCAATAATATCAATTTAAAAATTTAGTTTCCATGAACATTTCTATAAGAAAGCTCATTAATTGATGTGAGCCTTAACCAGACATCCAGCGTTTCTAACAAGAACAATTTCTTGAAAAATCCTACGGACAATTTTTAACTGAACGGTCGTATAAAAATTCCGTGAAACACCTTTTAATTGGATTTTCCACTGGGCCAAAGTTGGTAGAGGCGAAAAACTAAGTGGACAAAACGGTTTGTGAAAAGCCTTTACCAAATTTAACAATAATTTTAATAAGAGGACATGGTGTTGTAAACTCACTACAGCATGTTGTGATGTTAAAGCACTCGCACTACCTGTACACAACATTTTTTCCTAATACAACGAAACGAACGGAAATTCACATACCCGTTCGGCAAGGAGTCCATCGATGAGCACCTCGAAGAGGACCTTGCACTCAAGGCAGCTCATAAGCACATTCCCGGCTGGGGTCTGAATGCTGCCTGCACTTTCGAAAAAGGCGTACACCGGGTGCGTAGAGGTCTCGATGAAAGCTGGGGTCTGAACTTACGTAGGCACATGTTAGCGAGTTCCTTCTAATAAGTGTTGAACATTTTATACAAAAGTAACAGCGGTAGGAATAAAGAAGAAGCTACCAAAGGTGCCACAACGATGACAAGGACAGTTTTGCTTCACATGTTCGCCATATATTGTTGTAATTATAGGTTATTATTCTTTAAAAGTGGTGCAGCAATGCTAGGTGTTCCCCAAAAATTAAGCGGAAAATAAGACATACGAAGAAATCATCAGGTTTTCCTTTTTTCTATTACGCTGTGAAAAACTATCTACTACTTGTATTACCTATAACCCCGTTAACTATCGAGTTACTCAAACGAACATTTTGTCATTTGTTCTTGTACCGCGATAGAGCCAACCAGTAGACTTCATTTGATCGAACAGCAGTGCACATCTCATTTACAAACAAAACTTTGATGGGTGGATCTAAGATGAAATTTCAGCGAATTCACTGTCAGGCCCCAGCGAAGTGTGACCTATTCGATGGAGATGACCATGAACGGCTTCCCATGTACTTCCGCAGCCACTAGACTGCTGGTTTTCACCCGAATCGTAATGAAGGCACAAATCAATGCGCGAAAGAAGGACAGGAAGTTCACGCCACTTTCAACTTCCTCTTCAAGGCAAGTGCCCAAGCGGTCGTTTTGCTCCGCATTCTACTTTCTATCTAGCATTTAGGAAGTACACATCCTGGCGACTAACCGACTCATAATCCTTCACAAGTGGGAGAAGCATCCGATAAAAAACATCAACGAGGTGAAAAAAAATCGCAGAACTAAAGTGGGATATGAAACACGAAGCATGGACGAAGTAAAAAAAATTATAGAACTTAAGTAAAATATTGCATATGTAACTCGTATAATGCTGAGATATTTGCAAAACTTCGGACCGCAGGTGTCTGCGGTGGGGAACGAACGTGTTATTGTCCTTTCCGGAGAGTAGCGCGTTCATCACCACACCATGCGGGTCGTTCGTTTCGCCTGTCTCTCAGATAGTTCTTTCGATCTTTTGCTAGCTGAGAGACAGGCGAAACGAAGGACCCACATGGGGTGGTGGTGAACGCGTTACTTCCTAGAAAGGACATTAACGCGTTCGTTCCCCACTGCAGACACCTGTGGTCCGAAGTCTTGCAAATATCTCAGCATTATACGAGTTATATTTCGCAACATACCCTGCCATTAAAAATAATAGGCAGTAAATAGAAAGGTTAAGATTCAATATGTAATTACTTGCCGTGAAAAAAGCAAATGCCGATAGAACCATTTTTGCACATTGGTTTAATCCAAGTGAACAATAGCGATTTTAATAGTATTTTTGATTCTTTAACGAATCACATAAACAAGCCGTAACTTTTTCTCATTATTCAGTCTCTGCCAACAAAATGAGTGTTCGTGAAGTGATTGGACTTCGTTAAGAGATGTCACGTCAAGAGGATAATGGATAAATGTCTCGTCGACTTGCGCAGTAGTGAAAAGAGTTGTCCAGCAAATAAAAAACTTAGTACTTTGTGGTTTTCACTGGTGTCCAAACATCCTCGAAATACGGAAAGTTCCCTCCAGGTAACCTAACGATCAAAAGTCGGCTTTAAAAGGAACGCGTTAAAGAAATAAATTCTTAAAATTTTCCGAAAATATTCGCCTTCATGGCCATAGTTTTGCTATTTCTACGACATTAAACCTACTGAAAACTACGTAAACTATGAGAGCACTTTAAGTAATCGAAATACTACTTTTTATCACCTGTTACTGATGTTTAGCGCTACTGTGAAATGATAGGTAGCACAAATCATTCGAGTAGATCCGCTGCAAGATGTACAAGACAAGCTGGATTGAAGTGTCCATTAATTGAAGATCGACGTTTCAAGACGAACTCAACTAAAACTAGTGGTCATGGAGCAGAAGCCGGAAAGATTCACGGACACAAAAAGCGGGAAGGTACACATTGAATGCTTTAAAAGCAGATTTATTTAGATACTTAAAATGCCCAAATAAAGCATGGTTCGAAAATAACACCATGTAGCGCAAATAGCGGATGAATAAGGGAAACAATGGGAAACAAAGGAACGTATGATAAGATAGGATTGGAGTCTTAGAGACGAGTCAAGAAACCGACGATTCCTCCTACCATTTCGCGTGAAGGTGCAAGTTTTGGGCAGAAGCCGGCATCGGAACAAACCTGAAAGTCAAAGTATTAGTGAAGTACAGAGTTAACACAAAAAGAGAGCAACAAGAAACAGCCCAACTTGGCGCGGATTTTTCGTAACCTAGAGTGAATGCATCTCACTAGTGAAAAAATGGACCCACACCATGCAGATGAAGCTAAGATTCAAAAAATAATATTTCAAAACCCTTCTGACTCCTTTATAAACACAAGCTGAAGTTTTGCCGGCTGTATATTTTGTATACCTGTCTGGGATTCTGCAATAGTGAATCGAGCTCCTGAAATAGTTCCGGTAGGAACTGTTCGATGAGCGTATCGCACTAAAACAAAGTGAAATGAAAAACACGGCGGCAGGGATAAAATAGAAGCCAACCATTCCGCGATAGCTGCCTAAGTGAATACAGATGTTCTGCGAGAGGAAATCGTGAATCTCCTTCTGTTTGTCTTTGTCTTCGACAATCGTCTTCAGCTCACGAGCGGCGAACTGGCATTCGTCACAAACAAGGTCCTTCTAAAAACGGAACCAAATATTATCGAGTTAAAACTTAGTCCTAATATTTCTTGCACTTACTGCTTATCAGATGCTTCTGTTTTAGTTCGGCAGAAAAAAAAGACTTAAGCTCTCGTAGTGTAACAGGAGGAGGTTCTTGAAATCACCTCTAACTTCCAGGTATTAGATGAATATTACAGAGAAAGCACATCCCACTAATTTAACCGAACACCTGTTGGTTTTTGCAGACTAACCGTGCTTTTTTGTTAAATATTACTAAGATCGGCGCAGGCAATTTTATGCTCGTAAGATCTCAGCAGCGAGCGGATCCCATTGTAAGAAACGCGATGGGTACGCGACTGGAACGAACGTAAGAGTTTGGTTTAAATAATCAGCATAATAGCTCTTGATGATGTACTTACACATAAATTATTCATGGAGCGGATAGCATAGTGATAGTGATGGCGATCATCATAAGCACGGTGATGGTTAGATCCCACCTCAAGCTCATCAATCGTCTCATTCCTAGCGAAAAAAACCACTCTTTGCAATTCAACTGGGAACGCTCCCACCCGGCTATCTTAGAAGTCCGGAGTGAATTGATTCGAGCAACATTCTACGACATTGAAGATGAAGTGAAAATCCTCAAGCAAATCCTCAACCACACCAGCCTGAGCCACACGTGAGAAGTTGGAAGGGCTTCGTGGATGATGGATGCAAGGAAACGAATGGAATATGAGAAGTGCTGGGACCCGTAGAATAGACATGAAGACGGGTCGTATGGAATAACATGAAAAGACAATAAAATGTAAATCATTCAAGGCTCTAGAGTGGAGGCTCACATACCAGGCTATCAACCTCGTTCATCGCTCTCTTTGCGTAAAGTAGTCCGATTCGGTGGAAGGCATCGAGGCGGGAGTTAGAGCATATATGGATGGCCTTGCATACTTTGTGCGTGTCATTCTGAAACCACAAGTCTTTAGTCTTTTTTGATAGTTTTTACAATTTTGAGTACAGCTAAACTAACTAAGTAGGGTTCGAGTTTCTTGACTATGACGTCGAGCTTGGAGACGAACATGCGGCACTCGTCCACGTACGAAGTCTCATGACACAAGACTCTTAGCACCATTTTCAGCTCGTCCAATTTTTCCGGATCTTTGGCTGCCTCATTAATTCGGCGGACCAACTGCAATGAATCATTGTCGAGCAGGAAACACTCAAGAAGACTATGGCTGTTCTGTTTAAAAAAATGCAAAGACACAAAAGTGGAATTTTATCTTCATTTTCTTCATCAAGCAAAGCAGGGTTTTAAAACACTGAATATAGTTCTGCTTAAAATTCTTCAACGGTCTGAATCTCCCCAATCATGCCGTTGTCTGTGAGCGCCTCTGTGAAGATCTCTCACTTTCACTCACCACAAACACCTAGTGCGCAAATTACTTCAAACACCGATCGGTGTGGTTGTTTAAAATGCTTTTCTTGGTTTGAAGATTTTCATGAGTTCCATGAATCAATAACCCAAGATTAGTGGTTTCTTCGTCCTTAAACCTCACTTTCTTTGAATTGCCCTCAATTGTGCTTTGCTCTGTTATCTATTTAGCTCCATTCATTTTTAGCACTTGACTTTGTCGTTTAATTTGTTGGTTTCAGTGAAACAGTCTCAAAAGTGTACGGTGATCAAAATCATCCCCTACTCTTTTCCAATTAAAAGTAGAGAAGAGATGTCATAAGACATAAACAGCAACATCGATTGCTTCATAGAGGTTAACAAGAGTTCAAAAACAAGACAAGTTAGAAGAAAGCTGAGGGAAAGAAAGTGACGACGATTGGGATTCATCGGTAGAAACCGTTACTGCATATGATGCTTGGAATGTTGATGATTCACCGATTTGGGAACGGCACAGTGTAAAAATCCTTTCGATTTTTACTGTTTTTCGCAGCTCTCGGCGATGATAAATCCCTGAGGGATGTGCCACGCACTCGACTTCATCGTTGGAGGTGAATACATATCTAGCCTCTACAATTACTCATGGTGGCCTAGCGATGTATCCAGCCGCTACTGCTATCTTCCCAGACAAGTGTAGTACCACATTGCCGACTCCCAGTGATGGAAGACTTGGTGAGCTACGGGCGAGGGAATCGGTCCTATGTGTGTATTGCAGGGCGCCTCCGAACACTGCGCCACTGCTTACACGAGGTACAAATAAAAATTCTGGAGGGCAGCAGCAGAATTGGATACAAATTCCTCTCGAATCCACAAAAACAAGGTTGTTGAATGGTCTACCCGGTCGATTTCATCCTTTCTAGTATTCTAAAATACCTATACTAAAGCACTCTAAGGGTTTCAACTTGCGGAGGAAGTCGGTAGTCGGATTGGATAACCAATGTGAATTGTAGAAAAAATTCTGTGCAGATCTGCTATCAATTGATCTGCCCGGAGGGATAAATGAGTCGACTGCCGACGTGGGTTATTGAACCAACGTTCGTTCGTTCTTGCTGTGTGCACAAAGTAGGAATCTCTGATGACTATGGTGAGACGGATGCAACTCAGTCTTTTACTATATTAAAATATATTGCACCGTACAGCTTCTTCTGTTCCGCTAGGGGTGTTCACGTAGCATGCAATATTACGAACTGATTTCGTTAGATGACCTGCTCGACGCAGTCGTCAATACAAATAAACTTCTGCTTGTAGCCTTCTGTTATCCGAGAAAAGGAGCTCAAGTCTACGAAAACGCCTTCATGGCTAGTTGTTTGTTACGAATTCTGCAAGGTTCTCCTTCTTTAGAAACACTTCGTTGCCTACGGCTTTTTCGAGGAATGCACCACAAATCTCATCCACATTGATACAGCTCTAGGAGAAGTCCAACAATGACCACACTATAAATTGAAACAAGTTCTTATTGGAGCAAACCAGAAAACAAGTAATTAATTTTTCTAGTCAAATATCTGAATAGACTATAATGTTTCTGTGTCATTGAACAATCAAACTCAGATGCGAATGGTCGCGCCCATTAGACAATTTGCAGCATAGTCTATACCAACGCAAATCTACAATTCGTTTTTGATTTTCTTTGATTGGAGAACGTTGCTATTTTTAACGTAAACTTTAGCGCTCGTCTTTGGAATAAAGGTGATGAGTGGAGCAGAAAGCGCTTGGCTGACTCGAGAACATTCACTTACCGACTGGCACTCGTCACACGCCGACGGCGCCGAGATGCGAGTTACCGGCTCGTTACTGATTTTGTTGTATTTCAGCATCGATTCCTTGTCGAATGCTAAGCAAGTGGCGACTGCCAAGAACAAAACTATAAACTTCATCCTGAAAATCTGTGAATATTGAGGAATTTACTCAAGATCAGCGAAGAGAGGACGACGAGCAAGAAAGTGACAGAGCTGAGTGCGCGTGTAATAAGATTGACATCTTTAGTAGCTGAAGGTGGCAAAGGTACCTCGAAGCTAATATTTTAGCTTAGTGAGCTTAGTTTTTTCTCGGATAGACTTATTCTATCCAATCACCAACTATTTTAAAGAAGGTTGCTACCAATTGCACAGGTTTGTTTGTATAATCGAAGCTCGTTATGACAACAAATGTAGCACAATACAAGCATTTCACGATAATTGAAAAGATTAGAGCAGACTGAAGAAGGTAGCTGTATTATCAAGTGGCGGGAGACTTCTTACTTGCAGCTAGAGGAACCTTTGCATGTGTTTTATTAATAAATATAGGTCTTTTTTCAAAAAATCCAACCATCAAGCAGAAAACGACCAATGAACTGTGGTGAGACCACCATTGCCTACGGATGTATGCTCTTCGTAGCTCACAACTGGCCCAGTTATCCAGTTAGATTTGGCGACTTTTACGGATCACTGCGAAGTGTTGAAACTATCCTGACTATTTTACTGAAGGATTTCTTTCAGAGAGCAATAAAATAAGTGATAAAGAAGAGGTTATTGGCTATTGATAACTCATTGGTTGTCAACACAGTTGCTAGCAGTAAGGAAAGAATATGAAGATATCGAGAAGAGAAGAAAGGCCTTTTTAAAATCGATCAATGACAAAAGTTATTTGATGGCTCTCAACTGCTCAAGGGTGATCAAAAAAGGCCAAAATGGAACAGGAGCCTAGGTAAGACGTCCTTAAGTGTGCATTACACTAGTAATCGAGCAGTTTTCGACTCAACGACTGAGCTTTTCCTGAAGAGGTCAGAAAGTTCAAAAACGGGAGTTTGTGGAAATCAACGTCGACGAGGGTGAACTGTTGTCGAGTGAAGTCTAGGGAGGATCACAATCAATCGGCCACCAGTTGGGCGGCGAAAGAACGAAAGAACGGTCTTGTGACCAGGCAGCTGTCGTTTCTGGTGTGCTTTCGCCTCTGGCTGCCGAGCGAGTGCCTTTCGACTTTTGGTAGGCGGGCCGACTGGAGAAGGACGGAATGCCGAAAATTCTTGCTTTGCTCGGAACATTTTCCTTGATATGAAGCTATACTGCAAAGCCGAAATTATTATGATTAGTGAGAATTTCTTTCTTAACCGTAATAGTCGAAATGTTGATTAAGTCTTTAGCATATCGGCAGACTCCATCGATTATTGAGAAGTGGTATTCCTATAACTCAGCTACTCATATAGTCGAAGATAGTCAGAAAATTCATCTCCTCCAATTACTTGACCTTTAAAAGAAAATGCACCCCTGGAACAGTTTAAAGGTCTTGACGCGCTTGTTAATATATACAACACAGTCAGTTACGGAATGGCATTTCCAAAAATTTGGAGGGGTAATTGCTTGTCCCTGTTCAGAGCAAATGATTATTCGGCAAGATTCAGAGGATAATTTATTACAATAGCTCAGATGACATGTCGGCCAGATATCTTCAGTTATTTAACAGTCGCCAACAGAAGCTACAGTCATCGCGACAAGCGGCCCGCCACTTCGGGCTCGAAGGCATCTAAGGCATCTGGGCATCTGGGCATCTGGACATCTGGGCATCTGAGCAACTGGTGCATTTCGGTTCTTATTTCACCAATTGCTGAATGGGGTCTGTTAAATAAAAAATTCAATGCCAAGATAGAATTCAGATTAGATTCAGACAAAATGCGAGTTTCAAAAAACTGATCCATTCTACGTAACCATTCCACATGTCCCGCAGCTGTTGTCAGATACTCTGACAAGGGGTCCTGCCTGCTTGAAAACTATGCAGAACGCCGCACGCTATAGAGAAGAATTGCCGACTAATGGTACACCAAAGGTAACTTGAGCGTTTCCATGTGATTTTTGACGACTCGTCATTTATTTGACTCCACTCTTAACGTATTTAACATCTTTATCCTACGAACTGCGTGATAGACAGTATGGCTTTAAGAAGTGCACTTGAAAATTAACTGCTAGAAAACAAATGGAAATGTAAAGTCTTTTCGAATCTTAAAGGAACTAAAGAAAAAATGCGATATTCAATGCTGCAGCTTAAATCATCGCTGCACTACAATACAACCAAAGCAACACTACATGGATTTTAGAGGAGGTTACAAGTCGAGCACTTTGATTTTTATTGCCCAGTTTTATTAGGGAATCGGCTAGCACGTTGTTTCTTCAGCTTGATGTCGTCTTCCCTCTTCAATTTTCAATTTTTTTTTCAGTAATTGAATGAGGCAATGCATTACCTAGGTTACTTCACATAGTTCTGGATAGTCAACAGAAAAGTAGAAGAGATAAAAAGTACGATCATTTTCCAGGGATTTACCATTAACTTGATTCCAATAGGAATTATAGAGGTGAATGGATGCATATCTCGTCTATAGAATCTGAAAAAACTTTCAGTGGGACACTGACGAATCATATTAGTGTATTTACCTCTGCAGATACGTCTGCTACCAATGTGGCAACCCTGGGATAATAGAAGGTTTGGCAAGCCCGAGGCACGGGATTGAACTAACGATCAATACGTATCGTAGGGACTCTCTAAGCACTGTGCATTGCGTACCCTTTTCAAATGAGAGATATACAGAATAAGGACTAAATGTTGAATGTTGAATGCTGACGTCCAAATTGTCCACCGTTAGCCATCCACTGAACTTATAGCGTTTGCGAACCGAGAATGTTAAAACTGCGATCCCTCAAGACTTAACAAAGCTATTCAGCTGGACACCCACTGAACTACACCATCCTTCATGATTCATACACAAAATATTCTCAGCTGTTCCGACCGTATGACGGCTGACTCATTCTCGTTTTAATTTATTCTTCAATCAAGTAAACAGGTGGTGTGTCACTGCATCGTCTCAATCATCTGCAACACAGCATGACCATCCCGACATCGATATCTGTTATGCTTTTTATTTATCATTGGTCAAAAAACACTGATCTGACGACCACTGCCGATTACAATGCGATATGAACCTGAAAACTGGGATTTGTGTTCAGTTTTGCTCACCAAAAATCGGAGAGACTTTACAGAACTTCATAACGGCGTAATAACCAGCTATAAAATTTTTCCAGCGCACTACAAAAGTTACTTATGCATTTGGTTAAAAAATTTAAACCTTATGTAAAAAACGAGCCTGACATCTCATGGGGAAGTGAGCGTTCCACATCGCGTATGTGAATCTCCAACCAATGGCGTGTGAAGACCTGAAAAGTTCGTGATGGGACGTGATGACGGTGATCGAACTACCCAATAGCTTAGAAATTCATCTCTAATCAACAACATTTCCACTTCTTTGAGGGAGTCGTCCGAATCGA